GCTGACATGAAAAATTAGCCTTGGAAAGGAATATGGAGTGTAGACTAATGTAAGCAACCACATCCTCATGAAAACAAGTAGCTGGTGATTCTCTTAATTCATCCACTTTTGTGTTGTGGTAAAGTCACAGAAATGATGTATTAAAAGACATGGAAAGAATAATCATTAAGATATATTAAGCTCTTAAGCAAGCTGTGTTCCTGTGGTGCGGTACTTCTCAGGACAGAGGCCTGCAAATGTCCCAAGAGAAATCTCATCAATGACCAGCACAAGAAAACTGGTCATTTCCAGTTCAGTCTGTAAGGTGTCTGTGGAAAAAAAAAAGAAAAAAGAAGCTGAAGGAATGAATGTACACATATGCTAAAGATAAAAGGAATATCAGATCCTATATGAAAAAAAAAAAACAGTAGTAAGATGAATGAAAGGGGAAATGTTAGTATTTTTAAGCGTATATAGGAGAGTCTTCTCAGTGATGAACCAATACTTGCACAACAGGGAAACATGGCTCCTTCCTGCACGGTAGTTGAACAGAAACAAGGTCCGGATGAAGATTTTTCCGTGGGTTTTGGGTTTCCGAACCCACGGAAGCTTGGGGACGGCCCCTCAGCACCCTCCGAAGATGCCTGCAGCGCAGCTGGGAGGGCAGGCAGGGTGGCAGCAGGGAGGGCCCCCCGGGCCGCTCGCACTGGCGGGACGCCTTTGCTGCTGAGTATCTGGGTATCAGACTCTCCCTCTGCCCTTTTATTATTTTAATTCATTTAGAAGATGCGATGCCAGACTACAACATAGTCAGATAAGATCATGCCATCTTTTCAATCCCCATACGGTTATTGGCTACGTGGCACACAAGCTGGTTCTTCCAAACATTTCCCCCCCTCACCCCATGCCCTAAATCAGTCTCTTACCTTCAATATTTTTAATCCTCTACCTTCTGCCTAGGTAACAATTGCTAAGTTACCTAAACTCCCTGTAGTAATACCCGTACGTTTAGCTACGAGCTGAGCAGTGTCCTCTCTCGTGGTTATTGTACATTTTTCCCTGTATTACCACAGGCTTGGCTTCCCTGGGGATACTGCAGGTCCTTTTGGTGAGGCTGAGAGCTGTGACCACCTCAGCACCATCTCACCAGAGCTTAAGATGTCATTTCCCAGTTGTAGGTGAAACCTGCTCCTCAGCCCACTGACAGCCTCTCTGTAGCTTTCTTCTCGCTTGCTTTCAGGCTCTTATTCTGCAATCAGAGGCAGAGAATTGGGAAGTTACAGGGTCAACCCAAAGTGCAAGCTCTATATGTTCTGCTGCACTGCCTGTAGTCACCTACCGCCGTCTCCTTCTGCCTTTTCCACAGCACCTCTTTGACTTCGGATCCAGCCATGGATCCTCATTTGCTAAAGCCCCTATGGGGGAGCTGGTACAAGATCCCCCTTAGCCAGCCTGCTGCTGCTGCACCAGCTGCTATGGAACATCCCGGTCCCATCCAGAGAAAGTGGACAGGGCACTACTCGCCTGTCCCGAAGCCCAGTGGTACAGTTGAAGGCAGGGCCCGTTTCACCTGTCTGGAAAGGCCAGCTGGAGTTGTAGGTTCATCTGGCTCCTGAGCACATTTGCAGAGGCACGTGAGAAGGGGAAGGCTGCAGGTATTAGGTGTATAGTGCATTTTGTGGGAGCTGGCCGGGCTGATCCGCAAGATGGGAGTAGCACTTTCTCCCAGGGTCCGTATGCAAAGGCAAGGGCCAATACCTGTTATTTAAACCTGGGAGCTGGGTCCTTGGCCTTTCAGAGAGTCCCCAGCACGACAGCTTCAACCACTGCAGTTTTGGTACAAACCTCTATTTTTAGCCATCAGTAGGGGATGCCTTTCAGCTGGCCAGGCAGCAGCAGAGCACAGCTCCCCTCAGAAACCTCGTTAAGGCTCCTTCCTTTTCTCAACGTTGTCTAGTACAATTACCTTTAAAGTCCTGTAAGTCAGAAGCTGTTTCTTCAAGCACTTCATGGATTTCTCAGTCGTCTTTTGTAAGAGCAGAGACTAAACACAGAGTAACTAAAAGCCTCCTCCTCGAAGGCTGTCACCAGGCTGGATGCTCTCTGGCAGCAGGCACCACTCATGGCAGGACCTTGGTCCCGGGCAAGTCTGCGTGTCCTGTGGGGAACCTCCAGGGAGGAGGATCTCTCTGCTGTCTGCTACCGATGGGGACAGCAGTATTTCTCAAATGCTGTTGTTGGTGACTGCGATAGACCCGCACTTAACCACTGCGCAAGGGCACTGGCTCGCTCTTTAGGAAGAAGGTGGGCTACGTTAAAAAACCTTGAAAAAAAAAAATTGCAAGATTTGCCACTCTTAGCACTGATCATGACTGCAGACACAAGGCACCTCGGCAATTCCCTAAATCCAGTGGTAAAGTCTCCTTCCACCCAAGCACAGGAAACCAGCCATGTGTTTTGTTCAGCAGCTGGTCTGCTCCCTTCAGAGGTCAGGCATGATGAGCACCTTGTTGGTTCTCCACCTCGGCACAGGAAGGAGGTTCCTAACTGAGTGGAGCGCTGCAAAAGCAGCGCAGCTGCTGGCGACTCTTGGAAGAGACTCCTCCACCAGCCGGAGGGCTGGAGCGGAGCTGCCCTCTTCTACACGAGGGAGGAATAAACGTCTCCTCCTTACTGCAAAAGTACTTGGGAAAGTGAATTCCCTGTTAGGCGAGTAACGCAGTAAAAGGCCCTGCTTTGGCTGTAACCAAGGCTCTTTCAGCCTCTGATTAACCTTCCCTTTGCTGAGCTGACAGCCCCAGTATAACTAAAACCGCTGGGTAAACGCCCTTTCTGCCCGTGGTTTGCGGAAACATGAGGAGCAGCTAATTCGAGGGGCAGGTAACACGGAGAGGCCCAGAGGTGCCGCCTGCCACAGCAATGACTCCTCTGGGCAAGAGTGCACCTACTACCCACCCGTTGCCTATACCACATATAGGACATAGCATCACATCACTAGAAGTGAAGCAAAGAAGAGATCAGGCATTCGGTTCATCTCCAGCTCATATATAAATGTGTGTGTGTGGGGGGCACTATTTCTATTCCCCCAAACCTTTATGGGAAGTCCAAAAGCGTGATGGCTCTATCTAAAAAATCTGGATCCCAACCATGGACCACAGATAGGTCACATGCAAACAAGCACCTGCAAGAAGAGAGATTCAGATGCTCCAGAGCAGCAGCCTAGTCCTAGTCCCTGTCTTCTAGATGTAAGTAGAACATGAAGATATTTCTCCGTTATTTTCAGCTGGCCTCTCTACTTGGTTGACATTGCATTAAAAACAAAACCAAGCAAAACAAATCAGTCTTCGTTGCACGCGGAGATGCACAGATGGTGCACAGGCGGCTCCATACCCACACATACCATAGCCCTGTTCACAGCAACCCGTAACTAGCAAGGGGCTCACCGAACATGGATGACCAGCTCCTCCTCTTCAGAAGGCAAGCAGGGTTGTCTACTTTTTAAAGGATTTCTATTTGCATGGGCTGTGTCTGGATACTACGTACCAAGGATTAGGGTGGAAAGGAAATAGCTGCTGTCCAACGCAATACACAGCACCCATTACTGGAAGGGGTGGAAACAAGAGCCAGGATGAGATTTGGACCAATGAACAGAAATTGTTTTTCAAAGTGTTAATCGCAGAGAGCTTTAAAGGGGGGAACATCCCTGAAAATACAAACTTTAAACTTGAGCTGAAACTCATCCTCGAATCCCTGCTTTCAATTTTACACACGAAGCAGAAAGCCTGCAGTGGTTCCCAAAGATGAACAAGAGACTTATTAGCACTTCATCAGGAAAATGCTGGTGCAGACGGAGCACCTTTCCCTGCTGTAGTCAGCAAACTTGCCCTTCTGCACCTGGCAGCTGCTGTCCTGCCCCTGCTCGCTGCATGGAGACACGGGAAGAGCTGCTGGTGTAAGTCGTTTTCCTCCCTCCAAGGAAAGGAGAATCAAGCGGAGACAGCTACCTGAACTGGGCTGAGAAAGGAGTTTTAATAAGGGACAGGTAAAGAGGAGATGAGGAAGCATGTTCAAGAAAGGCAATGCACAGTCCAGCACACAAGTCCTGACATTACAGTCCTGAGCCAAAGCACTAATCAAAAAATTAACAGCAAAATAATACATTTCCTCAAAAGAGGTCTGGCTCTTCCGGACATGAGTACACGAGCAATGGGCAGGAAGGAACCTCAGGAGCGAAGCCAGGCACGGATTTTATCCCTGCGCATCCCCAAGCATCCAGCAGCACAGCCCCCGGGCAGCAGAGCTCCCCGCGCCGCTCCCAGTTCTCCGTATCCCAGCTCGGGGGCTTGTCACAAGGGCAGAAGATTAGTCGGGGCGAGGATGAACCCCGCAGGAGCCGTCTCGTCGGGGACATGGTCACGGTGACTCCGTCACCAACCCTCGGCCGGGGCAAGGAAACAAAACGTGTGCGTCCTGCTCGTGGATGTCACGGTAATTTTTGAGAGCTTCTAATCATTTTCAGAGCTGTTCAGGGTCTGTTTAGTCAGGTAGGTGAGGAAAACACGAAACTAGGGAATGGTTTATAAACATTTTCCCAAAACATCACAGCTTTTATGCTGAATCACAATTGAGCTGTACAGACATAGAGAGACAGGAAACTCGAGGCGCTTTCAGAGCAGTGTGCTAAGGAGGACATGTTAACAGCGCCCTTTCCCAATATTTATCAAATCTTCACAGCAAGTACTTAAAACCCAGGAAACATTTGGCCAAATTACTTAATCCTAAGAAAAGGGTAACATCCCTAGAGTAAGATGCCCATTATATATAATAATAATAGAAACCTCAGTAAAGGAAAGGTGTGAGGGAAGACATGTTCTTAGCAGCCCCGGGGAGTTCAGAGCTGGCCCAGCACTCCTCCTTAGGAACCACGTAAAGCAACGAGGCCACTCCAAATTTAAAGCCATTTTGTTTTTATCTATTGGGGTAGTCACTTTACATCATACGAAAAGACTGTATAATGAATACAAGTATCAAGAATCAGATCTTTTTTTATGGCACAAAATAAAATTTTCTATTAACCTGCATTCAGAGTTGTTAAATACATAATTAAAGACACAGAAACTAAAGCTGCCACAAAATAATAGTTGCATGATGATGTTAGTTTTTATTCAACTTGTTAACCGCTTCCTCCAGTCAGAAGCTGGAGAAGAACCTTCCCATTCGCTTGTTTCCGTGATCCATTCTGGACAAAAAGATTTTCCCTAATTTTGACACAAATTTAATTTCTCCTCTTTATTGTTATGCAGAGCTCACATAAGCTTTAACGTTGTACCTTACAATGCATGGAATCAGAGATTAAAATAAAACTCTACTGGTAACATAACCTTTTCTATAAGGCAAAAGTATTCTACACGTTTACCGTAGCAAGAACGTTAGGCATTCACTTTGGGAAAAGCGGAAGGAGCTGACGTACGTTTCGGTGCAGAAGCAGCTTCCCGTGCTCGGCACTGGTGTCTCGCTGGGGCTGGGTGCCACCCCGCGCTCAGGGGCTGCACCTACAGCTCAGCGAGCAGCGAGCCGGAGACGCTGCCGGCGCCTCATGCTCGCCCTGCCCCGGCCGCTCCCCTGCGGCAAATTATTTCCATCTCTGAAATTATGAGTGGGGAATTATCAAAATCAGTATAAAAATAGCAGCATGCTACTAGACACGAAGAGCAGATTCTGACATTATGAAGTTAAATGCAGATTTCTGCCTTCCTCTTCTATTATGAAACTCTTTTTTTCAAAGTTAGCATCAAGGCAAGGGGCATGAGGACACACACTGCGTAGTATGACTTGACATTAATCTGAACTGAGTATTTAATCAAAATCCATGATAGTTACAGGGTTCGCAATTTTTATTTCGAAATACAAGTGTAACTGGAATTGTAGTGATGAAAGCAGAAGAGGGAGGAATGCAGTCGTTTACAGCCCATGTCACTGCATCTCGCTTACATCCAGAGGTAAAAGCTCTAATTGGTGAAGAGGCAAAATACTTGTGGCATTTCATTTAACCTTTGTGATAATCCAGCATTATCCGTTTCTAAAGAAATATAAATACTTTAAAACAAACATTGAAAATAAATCCTTTTGATGTAACAAAGTACACTCTTTACCAAGAATTTTCAGTCTTCTTAAAAGAAAGGGACTTCACCCAAAAAAATAATCGAAATATCAATGTAGAACAATCCTGGGAGGAGGAAAGTTGGAATGTAAACCTCTGTTCCAATTTAGATCTGAAAAATAAAAAAAAACAGGACCCACATGTTTTCATTTGACATACAATTTGCATCCAACCGTTCTGTTTTTAAAACTATTTATAGTTAAAATAGGAGACTTTAAAAAACACAGTAAAAGTTCTTGCCCACCTCCCATTTCTCTCAACATGCAAACCACTGCTGCTCTCGTACATCCTCACCAGCAACCATCCGGCAGCTACCTAAGTGAGCAGCTATGCCAGGATGTTTGCATATAAACAGTGCAGACATAAATAAGCCTACAAGTCTCAAAAACTACAAACAGAGCTGAGTTTAAGGGTAGCTTCCCAAAATAGTTGCCTATTAAATGAAGGCAGTGGCAAAACAAACAGTTTTCTAACCATTCTTCCAGCATAAACTACTAAGGAACAGACCCAAGTCTCTCCTTTTAGCTGTGACTTTGGAGCTCGCAATTCATTCAAAGTAGGTTGAGATGACTGATCTTCACAGAACTGACTCATTTTTTGTCTCTTTATGTGTCTTCCTTTCTTAAGGCAGAATATTAATATTATATTACACAGATGACAGAAACTTACAACACTGTATTAGCTGCACAATTCAGTATATTCTCCCACACAGAGATCCATTAATTTGCACATTTTATTCTTTTGGTATTCCTAGAGTAACCTATCACTTGAACCCTACAACAGCTTCATTATTAGAAGGATACAGTACTAAAAATTTTAACTCCAGGAAGCTAAACCTCCATCACTGACAGGTCCAAAGTGCTATTTTAAAAATTTGAAGAAAAATCCCTGAAGATTTTGTCACCTTGAAGACATCTGTTCAAAGGTGCCAGCTACTGAGAACCTCAAAATGGCTGAAATACTGTCAGAACATTTAAAGTGCCTTAGTCACATCACCCATTTAGAGAGAGGGCTAAAAAGACAACAAATTAAAACCTAAGACTACACTTAGAACAATCTATCCAATTAAGTTGACTCACTGGCTCAGTAAGTTACTACTTATCCTCTGAGCCAAGTGACCCAGCACCTACTCATCCTCCAGTCCTCACAGCAGATTCTGCTTCTTCCCTGTAGATTAGTTTGAATTCTAAGTAATGATTTTACTGTTAGATTTGAATTAAGAGTGTGCAGGGTCACAGCTTAGTGATTAAGCAGTATCAGCAGTAACTGACTCTGACTAAGTTGAGGATTACAGATAAACTTAGGAGCTGCTAACACTCTATTTTTATGGTTTTTTTTCCCTTCAATTCACAACATGCAACAAAAATGTTATTTAAATAAATTTTTCCCCTCAAAAAATGGGAATCTTCCTCAAATCTTGCTGTTATTTCAGCAGGTGTGATTATATATGAGCCTGCTAAAACTAAAGGGAAAAAAAGAAAGATGAAATCCACACATTTTCATGCAACCCATCAAAAACAAACCCCAGTTACTTCCATCACTTGCTGCCCCTATATATATAACCTGTGACCTGCTCCAGTGCCTGGTGTCTGCATCAACATGGTTATGGTCCATGCTGCTTGGGACAAACCGAACACACCCGCTGTGCACAGACCCTTAAGTCCTTTTACCTGCTCCCTCCAAGATGTTTCTAACCTACCACGCCAGAGACACAAAGGAATGCCACAGGTCTGGCTCCCTCCTGCTACGTCACCTGCTTGGCTTTGCATCATGAGCTTGTTTCAAGGAAGCTAAACCCTAGATTGCTGTGTGGATGGCTACACTCACCCCTTCAGGACAAGCACAGCCAGTTACATCTGCACATTAGTCGGGAACTTTTGTAACTGCTACTCCTCACATTACATATAGCACACACAAACATATAGGTGCACACAGATTCACTGCTATGTCAGTCTGGGTCTTCGGGGTCAAAGTATTTCAATGATTTTCTTTTAAGCATCTGAAGAATCATCGTAAAGAAGATTTTCTCAGGTAGTGAGAAGACTGTTTGGTAGCTCTCTATGTTTGTTTCAGTAACATGACACTCAGCATACGTGTTTTGCACAGCGCAGAATAGTCAACTGGAACAGCATCGTAGAAGAGAGAATGGAGAGCTGGTTCTGCACCCACAGGAACAGGCCCTGGCCTAACCAAACTTCTGCCAGGCTTGTCTGAGGGAAAACACTCGGCTGTTCTGCTCCAGGAAGGATTATTGGAGCAGTTAAAATAGAAGAACAGGACTCGGGAGCAGCAGAAACTAAGAATGTAAATATATTGTCATAAAAGACTAAGACTAAAACTCTTACCCAGGTGAGCTATTCTAAATATGAATGTTTTATTTACTTGCATCGAAACACTGAAAAACAGCTTACTGCCAACAACGAGCGCTTGGAGCATATGATGTTAAACACATGCTTATTACTTACGTCATCAATATCTTCATCATCATCTCCAATATCATCAAACTGGATTTCATCATCATCTCCAGGACCAAATGTGTCTGTTTCATTGATTTTAGCTGAAAAATAATTTAGAGGAGTTAACTAGTACTTATACCAAGTCAAGAGGGACTGATTCTTCTTGTGCAGGACCTCCCAGTTTGAATGGAAACAATGCTTACCATGTTCTGGGAGCTCCCCATATGCTTTCAGACTTCTGGCTTCATCTGCATTGTACTTTAGAATAACATCAGCCTTGTTATCCTAAAGAAGAATTTATTACAATTTAATGGCCATCTATGAAAACAAAGTAACAAAACTCATTATTTCTACACATAAAAAGGTAATGTCTTGTTCCTTCTTCCTCTCCAGTTCCCATAATTGTGAAGGGGAGAAAAACAAAACAAACACACACACCTAATTTGTAGAAGAATCATTTCTTCCAGACAAGATATAATGTTCTCCAATTACAACTAACCTGAAAAGTTCAATTTTGCGATGAATCCTTCTTGAGATAAGATATTGAGGAATTTGGTGGTCCCTTCAAAAGTGTCATTCCTTCCTTGTTTTAAGCAGTTTACTGTATGCAGTAACCTTAAACATTTTACTATTCTGTAATAGATCTTGCATCTGAAACATGTATCTTCCACTAACCAACAAAACTGAACTAACATTTACATAAAGTCTTTTAGCCACTGAAAATTTGGTAAGTGAACCTTTAAATTAGGTGAGATTATATTACACCATTTTTGGAATGTTAAGTAGAAACTAATCAGTCACAAAAGTGAGTTCTTAAAGTGAGAGTTTGAACATCAGGGCTCCAAGCTTCTGATTAATAAACTGTAGGGTGTTTAACTCCATTAGACTACAAGGTCCAAGTACCAGGCAGCTGCCTTCAGGAAAAGAAGGCCAGGCCTGATGCTCTGAAGCAGCTTCACCCAAACACCCAGAGTGCAGTTAAGTCTAGAAGAAAAGTGGAACTGGGATTTGGCATCTACTTGTGGCAAACTTTTTAGCACACAAGGAATTAAAAATCAATATAACAAACACCAGTTGGAAGAAAGTAAAGGTAGGAGCGCCCTCAGCAAGCTGCTGCAGTTTAAACACAGACATTTGATATAAACTCTTCAAGGGTAAATTGAACAGAATTTTTACCTGGTAGTCTCTTAAGCCCACCAATATAATATCAGATGTGTTTATCCAAACCTGAAAGAGTAAATATTTGTTATAGTCCAAGAGTTCACCTTTTTGGTCTTATAATGCAAAATTTAAGCACAGCAAATTTAAGTTTACTGAAAGACATTACCCCTATCACTACTGCCCCCATTGCCACTTTCTAATCAACTAGCTGCAACTACTCAGTTTCATATTTTAACAGCACAACCAAGCTCACAAATATATTACTTAACTAAACATGTTAGAGAACTAAGGTGAATCAAATCCTTCAAAGAGCTTCTAGCCCACGAGGTGACTAGTTAGCTACAACTTTGGTGAAAACAGAAGGAACTCTCCCAAATGACCTCTCGGTTAGCTCAAACCCACAAGGGCAAAAAATGAAAGAAAAAGGATGATTGGGGCAGGGAGGGGAGGGGAAGAGTAGTTTGAAGAGCCCAAGAAACCTGAACAGGAGTTATTTCTAGTGATTATGTTAACAGTCAAACCAAAGGCAGAAACATTAATGTAAATGAACAGCCAGTGTTGCCCATATTACCTTGATTTTTTGGAGATGGACTATATTACAGTCAAGACCTTCTTTTAGGCACAAGCAATAGCTAAGGGATGCCTTCTGAGAGAAGGATTCTGCACTACCTTGTACCTTTTTTTTTTTTTTTTTTTTTTTTTTTTAAATATACACATTCTCTACTCCCTTTAACAGCTTAAGTGAGTGAGCACATAGGCTACTGAAAGGGTTGTTTGCAGGTCCCTAGCAGCACTCGCACCGCTCCCAGGACACACATGCTCACTGCTCTGTGAGGACAAACCCGCGGAGCTACGTGGCACTGCTCAGGTGAGCACGGGGGAACATACCTGTTTATTAGGGACAGCACCTCAGACCTACCTCCCCGTACCATACCCGCCAAGAGCCCAGTACAGAAATCTGCAACACCTGGCAACAGTAAGAGGGGACGCTGCCCAAAGGAGCAAGATTAAGACTGTGAACACTAACATGTGACTTTCCAAAAAGCAGGAAGTCTTCCGGATCAGTTTGGCATTACAGTATTATTGGAAAGTAATGAAGGGGCATTAGAATGACAGCATATGAAGTGACTGAAGGAAGTTTTAAACTTTCCTCAGACTTCTTACATGACTACCTCCACTGAAGACAAGGCACCCAGTGGAAAGATGACAACTACTCAGATCCTCCCTAGCACACACGGGAACCTACACAAGTACAAAATCCAATTTGTATCAGAAAGAGGTGTACAGGGAAGTGCCTCTGTGCAGCTTTTACTGCTCTCTTGCCCTATGCTCAAAGTCCCACTTTCTGCTCTCCTGCAAAGGTTAAGTGCCCCCAAGCAGAGCACCTCTGCTTTCACAGCCACAGAACCCCCCAAGCCCACACACATTTCTTTGTTTTGCATATATGTTAAAAAAAAGAAATAAGAGCACATTAATTCCCAAGTGCAGGAAAACCACCCTAGCAGCACTTGCTGCAGCAGCAGCTACACAAACCTTGGGATAAGACAGCAATGCCTCAACTGAAATCTGTTGAGCTTTAACTGGATAACACTCCAGGGAAAGAATTTTCTTGAAGGATTATTTTTAAAGAATTATATTAACTCTTATGCAAATAAATATTTCTATAGCAATTCAGGAGAAAGATATCTCTATTCTGCCATAATTGCCGCTTAACAAAGGCTCTTCTTTTCAAGCATCCGATACTTTCTTGGTCCGTTTCATATAATGACAACAACAAGGAGTATAATTTATATTTCTTTCCCATAAAATATTTAAAATATTTTAAGTTATTTATAACCATCAGCCTATGCATCGCTTGTTTATAAACAAAGCTATTACAGGTGTTCTTTGGGGCGTTCAGTAAGCCTTAAGGAACAGCCTAAGGCACACCAGGCTTGAGCTGAAATCAGATGAGTTCACAATAGTTTAAGCAGGTGAGAGGAAAAAAATAAGCCCCAAATACACTCAAAACAAACAGGAAGTCTTGATTATAAGAAGCCATTGACATAATGACCTTAAAATTGAGCTATTCACCCCTTCTGCAGTTGCTCAAATAAGCATGGCTGTTGAGCTGGACTATCATTATATTCTGCACTTAAAGCACAACAGTTCACACTTCACAGAATCACAGAGTGGTTGAGGTTGGAAGGGACCTCTAGAGACCATCTAGTCCAACCCCCTGCTCCAGCAGGGAAAGTATCTAAGTACCACAGTAGGCTGTTGTGTGTAGTGTGTGTGTGTGTGTGTTTTCCCTCTGGTTGTTTAAGAATTTGCTTTTCTTTTTTTTTTTTTCCAGATGCAATATAAATGCAATCTTATGAAGACCAAGAAGATCCTTCTTCAATATGGAAGAGTTAGTATTTCATAAACAATCCAAAATTCTCCCCTACATACACATCAGAAGAGCTGCCCTTCAGCTATTAGCTGGACTTGGAACCTAAAGGTTGCCATTTTGGGGGCTCAGACACATAAATACAAGGGGAAAAAAAAGTCATTTAATATTGAAAAAGTTGAAAGAATAATACTTTTACTGAAAGATTTAAAAACTATTTGGAAAAAAAGCTACATATGTATACATTTTTACAACCAAACACCATATACAATATCCCTATTTTCTACTTAAATGCTTTAGAGATACCTTTTTTCTTAGTTTCCCTCTGATATGACATAACCTCTTCACACCGTCAAAACATAATGCCTCCAGTCTTCCATTGCCTAACATCTTGATCACCTGGGCATATTCTGAAAGAGTGAAAGAGACAGTAACATCAACAAGTACCTTTTTTAAAACTTTTAACCTTAACTTTTAACTTTTTTTGTTAACTTTGTGCAACCAAAACCTGCTGTAACGTTTTATAAAATATGAACAGCCGAGAGGAGCTGGGATGAGCCACAACAGAGGCTGCTGAAGGGTGCCTGTTGTTGTTGATGTTGACATTTCCCCACGCTGCTCACCCTCGGTTGTATCCTCACTTTTGTTTCCTCCAGAATGCTTACTAAGGATAATTTCCCCACTCTCAGCTGGACCCTCTCAGAGTTTATGGGTTTACTCCAGCATCGCATTTGCTCTTCCCACTGATGAAATCGTGCCCTTCATTGAGGCAAAAGGAGAAGGTGGCACTCGGGCCTGTATTCCCCACTGCTCTTCTGAAAACCGGTCTGCAGAGGCTGTCCTGAGAAAACTGCTAGTCTTGAGAGGAGGACATGCTTAGAAACTGTCTGAAGGGCATTTTTGTACTGATCAGGCTTCAACTGAGAACATGAAGTTTCTCTCCAAACTCTCTTCACCCCCTGTAACTCTTGTGCTGTATGTTCCATCTCCTTCTCTCATGGAGTTCCAGAAATCACTTTTCGTGCCCTCTACAGACACTACCAAAATTTGCAGCATAATACTACAATTTAATGAAATGGGGAAAAAAAAACCTTGCAAAAATCATAACGTTATCTGACCCCTGATACTACCCAGGATAAAAAGTTTTCTTAGTTGGGCAGACTTGTGCTAAGGAAAGATTTTAGAATATTAACACACAAGCTAAACAGTGGAGCAAACTGACAGAATCTTATTAACCAAGAGCAATGTTTAACTAAATGTATTTTGTTTGAGAGTGGGAATGAACTTTAAGAATTAGAAGCACATCCAAAGTCAACTCCTTTTCACTTCTGACTGGCACAGAATTATCAGCAAGAGCTTCAGAAATGTGTCTGGTTGTCACACACGCCTTTAAACGCTCAAGAAAGGCTTCAGGGATCTAAGTCAGTGCTTTTCCTGTATTTCTTTTGCTTAATGCACCATATAATTAGTTGGCTGCTAGGCAAGTCCTCACATAAATGCAGGCCAGTATAAGAGCATTGCACACAAGACAGGTGAGCCAAAAAACAGGTGAGGTCACTGCCACCAACAGCAAGGGAAGCAGAGGGGAACCCTCCCCACCACATACTCATGCAATTTACTTCACATGACAAGAGCTGAATAAGGACCCTACCTGTTGCTTCTCTTTTAAGACACCTCACTCCCAACTTCCCAGTTAAGCTAATTCAACTAAATCAAGAGAAAAAGAGCAAGACATACTTTTTGCTGGGCTACTGACTTCAGAGAGCTCATAAAAGCCCCCCAAAATGCTACAGGTAGCATGAAGCAGGCAGCAGGGCTGGGCTAGACATCCAGCAAACACCTCCAACACTAACTCAGACCAGCCAGGCTGGCTGCTCAGGGACCCTCGCAGAGCGCGACCCAAGAGACTTCCAGGGATGCCTTACACATGGACAGCACGACACACAGCACAGCACTAAGGCAAGGAAAGGCAAGCTTCACTCCTCAGTGGTGAATCTCTAAAATGTCCCACTTCCAACCGTCTTTCTCTTATGTTCAGAAGCGAAGTATAACCCCAACAAAGATGCATCTTTCTATTCCACAACATTTTCGTATTTCTCAGACATCCATACATGTTTCCTTTGTGGACCAGCACCCCATGTACCTCACTCCAAATACCAGGCTGAAAGCACTAACGGCTTATCGCAGTTAAGAACTCACCTTGCCCGTCCTCCTTGAACACCAGTTCTCGTTTTTCTGATTCATTCTCATTCTTACCTCGTCGCCTATTTTTACCTCCTTTGCCTAAATTAAAAGGAGAGGGGGGAAAAAAGGCATGTGTTACTACCCAGCTGACTGCTATCTATAAACACAGTCAATTCAATAATCCATTAGTCCGAGGGGAATTTCAGTGCTTGCTCTCACTATGGCAGCTGTGAGTTTCATCCAGGACTTGGCTCTTTTATTTAAAGCCTTTCCAGCTCTAAGTTTTTATCTGCCGGAGCACTAGCACAAGATTTGGGCCTCCTCTGCTAAAGACTTCCCGGTCACTCAGGAACTGTGGTGGATTTTGGAAAGGATTTGTCCAAGATCCCCAATTCTTTTTTTTCCTGGTTCCAGTGACCGGCACTCTGGAAGAAGCTGCAAGCAGCAGTGGGGCGCCCGGGACCAGGAGCGGCCCCACGGGCGCAGAGGGGAGCGCGAGGGCTCCCAGGGCCGGCCGGCGGGGCCGTTAAAGGGCACACACGTGGCGCGGCCCGGCCCGGCCCGCACGCGCTGTCCCCTCCTCTCCCCAACGCTCCC